TCATAACATGTACAGACTCTTCAGGAGGTCAGTACCAGAGTCCAGGTTAGTGCATGAAGAGAAACCGTCTGCTCACTGTGATCACTGATTTACAAGTTTATAACACGCTCTCTGTCAGTTTATCTCTTGTCACTCTCCCAGTGCCCGACAATACATACCAAAGAGTATGTGTGTGTATTTGTGCTCATGCAGTTATGCATACAAAGACCAGCGTGTTCAAACCTGTGCCGAAGTTGTTGTCGCTTCACTGCAAACCACTGAGCTGAGGGTGAGCGCATTATAATCACGAGAGGACAAATTCGCCAGGGGCAACATTCACAGACGACCAAAGAGTATCACAACACAAACACACATATCATATTTAATAAACTCAAACAAACATTTAAATAAGTGCTACTGAGACACGATGATTCAGATTCTGTGTCTGGGAGGTCATTACGTCAGGGCATGAATCCCTCAGAAGTGCCAGTTATGACCTGTTGTTTAAATGGCCGCTGTTTACAGCTGATAGACCTGATAATCATTCCTCTTGCTATGTCGGCTTTTTCACTCAGCCACATCAATTACATCATCCCTAAGACGCAGAGCGATACTGGTGACAAGTGGTGTGAGGACTTTGGACTGAGCTGAACTGAATTTCAACATAACCCAGATTCGAAACACAGATCACAGATCAGTCAAATACAACTACATTTCTAACTGTGTTGCCTGCAGACTTACAGAATCAGATTAAATACCGTAGATACATATTACATACATACATATTCACATTTGTTATATATAATATATATAATTATATATAATATGTGATTACTCAGTGTTTTTTCGTGATGCACACAGGCAAAGGTTAACAAAATAAAACGCCACATTCAACACAACAATGAAGCAAGCGCTTTGTATGTCCAAGTAGCCTGAGGCTAATTACTGTAGCTACAGGTTTTGAAGCCCGACAGGCAAGTTGGTTCACCTTGTCAATTATCAGTTGTGTGTTGTTGTATGTGTTATTGAATAGAAGCCTGGATTGAAGCACAACAACACTGTAACTTGATGGACATGCTGAAAACACAATTTATTAGTTGGCTCCTCCTTTCTACCATGTCGGTCTTTTCTATGGACATTAGAAGGTTGGAGCCTATCCCTCTACACAAAAGTCAGGGTCACACCCTGGACAGGTCACTGGTGCGTCATGGGAGAAACAAAGGTAAGCTGAGTTTTGCATTGCCATTACGCCTGTTTTGCATATCCTCAAACCGCAGACAGTTGAAGAAACCAGCTGATAACCAGTAACCAGAGATATCATCTGAAAATCAGCAGCACACAACATGAATTTCACTCGTAGTAGGATAAAATAGGCTGGGGCCATAGCATGATTTACCTGAATGTAAAAATAATCATGCTTTACATTCATTTCAGACTTTCTTTTGTTTGACCTAGTTTGGAAATCTGAGATTAAACAAGCAAAATTGTCTTTACATTATTTTAGAGGGAATACATTTTACCAGGTTTAACATAGGCGGACCACCCTCACTGAACTGAAACATGAGCTTTTGAAATCTGATCATCAAGGCGTCATCATTTAGTTTGATCTCCATCACTTGTTTAACAGCGAAAGGTGGACAGTGACCTTCAAACCCTCACTTTAATTCAAGTCCTCCTTGACTACAAGTTACCACAACATGGCTGAAGACAGTGTGACTCATCAGAAGGTAACCATCATAAATGATTTAAACCTAAGACGCAATTATCTTTTAAAACAAAAGCAATATAAAGTTGTTAATATGCAGATGACCGAGCTTGAGCTGGAGACTCGATACCGCAGCAAAGGGACATGACTGTGATAAAGAGTCTTATTTGAGGATCTTCAATTACAGGTGTACAACGCTGTATTTGATTGGTTGGATTTGAGGCATCAGGGAAAAGCAAAAGACAAACTACACAGACACACATTTACTGTCAAATTCGATTTTGTAAAGTAAAATAAATTCGGTTTTTCACTCCTGGTTCGAAAGAGACAACAGGAGTTGAAGACAAACTCAGCCGCAGATAGTTTGACATCGATTTGTTCCGAAGAGACACAGAGTTCTTTGCGCACCAGAACTTATTGCGCACGTGTGTTAGTCTAACAAAAGCAACACTTTAATTCAATTAACCAAGAACTTTGTTAACTTTTGTGAAAAAACATTAAATCTTGTATTTTCCGAATAAGCTTATCTGGAGACACTTGCGCTTGTTTTTCGTGTCCTTGCTCGAGCGTTGTCTTACCTGTGCTCACTTCCGTTGAGTCGCTCCTTGTGCGGACACCTGACACTCACTGCGTCACCGCCCGGAGTCTGCAGAACCTGCACCCGAGGGGGCGGGCCGACCGCAAAGGTGTGATGGGAGTGGACGAGCCAGGTCATGTGATCTCATGGGCCAATGACCTCAGGGTATTACGTTACCCCCCCTCCCACCACCACCCACCTGTGTAAATGAGTGTGGGTGTGCTGGCTTGTGTGTGCGTGGGTTCCTGTACTTATATCATTGTGAGGACCATTCTCAGCATAGACCCGACAGAGTGACGTCATTCTTGGAAAGTGAGGACATTTTGACTGGTCCTTTGTTTTTCTCAGGGCTGTCTGAGGGTTAAGACTTGGTTTCAGGGTCAGGGTTAGGCTTTTAGTGTGGATGGTTAAGGTTAGGGTAAGAGGCTAGGGAATGGATTTAGATGGCCAATGAGTGTCCTCACTAAGATAGAAGTACAAACGTGTGTGTGTTTGTGTGTGTTGGAGCGCACGTCCAACTAAATTCCTCAGAACAGACGATACCTATTTACTTTGCTCGTGTCTGTGTGTGTGTGTTGTAGTTGTAGACAGTACCTATTCTACTAATGGTGCTCTCAAGTTAATCTGTCTTATTGGTAAATATCACAAACATAAACCCAGAGTGCTAAAAAAGAAAATCCCATTATATTCTCTAAGGTTTTGGGGGAAATACTCTGTAATGATGTCACATATGACATGTCTGATACACTTTATAATTACAAAAGGTCAATGTCATGTTTCTTTTTATAATGGCACGTTTGTTTTCTTCTATATATGGTGAAAGCTTTTCTCAATTTAAAAAAAGAAGAAGAACAACAACAACAAGAAAACCAAAAAAAAAGGAGACAGATAACTATCAAGTCAGGTGTCTGAGATTTAGACATGCCTGGCTAATGCCACAGCACATGACAAGTGGCATTTGTGCTGGCATTTGTGGTGACATCTGATTTATGATTTACAACTATGTGGCATTTACATTGTAAATCTTAGCTTGGTAAGTTCCTTGATAACTGGACAATTGACAATAACACCTTTATTAGATCTAGCAGCATTAACTGTAGCTGGATATAAAAAAAGATTATCCTGGGGCACGGTAAGTTCGATGTTTGCATTACATTTGCCTTCTAAGTAAGACCAACTGGATGGCGTAATGAAAAGGCAGCTCCTGAGACCTTGCTTCATGCTCCAGCGTTGACCTGCTCGGGAGCCCTTGAACATGGCGGAGTATGTTTTCTCAGACAGCCCCAGGCTCTGGCAGTGAAGTGAAGTGATCGCTCTGAACTTTTGCCAACAGCAGTGTTTAAGTCAGTAGCAGTGTGCTTCAGGAATGAGTTTTTCAAATTCAAAGTTGCACTATATGCCCCAGCTGGCCAAGAGACCACACATTTATCAAGCTTTCTGCTAAACTAAATGTAAGAATACCTTTGTCATGTTGATAAACTAAAAGGGGTATTTTTGTTCATCTTAAGTTGCTCACTTAAATACAACTTATAAGAAAATAGATTTCTTTTCACTTGAAAATAAATCATTGATATTTTAATAATAATAACGGGTGAATACGCAGGGTCATTTTATGGACTGATCAGTCTATGACTGATAGACTGAGTACATCAACGTCTATGACTGATCAGTCCATTACCAAAGTTAGAATTATCAATATACTTATTTTATTGTCTTTTTAGATGAATGGTGTATAGATTTTAGGCCTATGAAGATTGAAAAAGCCCATTTAGAAAGTCATTATTTATCAGAATCAGAATCAGAATTCCTTTATTGTCCCAAGATTGAGAAATTAACAGCATTGCAACAGCAAGATAATCAACAAATGTATCTATAATCTTTATAAAAGAAACACACCAGATAATCAATAACAATACTAAACAAATCCTGAAGATTTTCCCCGCAAGGTTTAGTAACAAAGAGGTAAATACAATTCATTCCCTGCCTCTCTTAATCCACAAAATTGCACAACCTGTTTTCCTAAGTGATGATTTTAAATCTACCAACATCAAGGAAAAGTATTCATGTTCTCAACTGTTCACTAAAGACCTTTGACTCGTCGATACAAATGCCAAAAGTGTGCTTGATGTCAATATATGTTTGTAAGTTTGGTTCTAACATGATATCTTAGTATAGTTTTGAAGATCTAAGGAGATTAGGCACATAAGCAATTACCGAGCGCATCAACGTAAGTGACATTGTTTATCACGACAGATTCTCCAGTTCGGGATTCTTTGTACTGAGTTGAGCTTCATCGAACTTTTAATTAGCAGGTGAACAGCTCTTTGTTCTTCGTGGCTTCAGGGTTCTATGGACTGAAACACTTTGACAGTTACAGAAAGAAAGCTGCAACAAGCATCTGCACAGGCCAAGCAAACAGAATGGCCACTGTGTAAACATACAGTATTTAAATATAAAGTCCCATTCTAGGGTAAAAAAACAACAATTCTTACAATTTAGATGAAACACACAAGTGAAAAAAAACCTACGATTATTTTATATTCAATTTCTGCCAATAGATCCCTTTCACCTAAATCCTACACAGTGAACTTTTAATAAAGAGGGTGCTTGTTGTTTGGTTTCATGCAAACATGCAAATGAAGCAAGACAGGAAAAACAGATGATGCACAGGGCATTGTACAGTCAAAATAACAATGACGTCATCTCCAGTTTAACAGCAGCTTGACAGGAGCTCTATCATGTTATTTATCATATTGGAATAAAAAAAAAAGTGGCTGCGATATAATCAGTCACATGCTTAGATCATTATCATTTATTACAGAACACATGTGCTGCGGGTTGTGAGCACCACTGTTAACACGTCCATGATGTGCACGTCCCTGGTTTCTGTCATTGTAAGTGTGCCCACTCCTTCCTCTTCAGTCGTCGTCTGCTGCAAACTGCGAGAGGCCAGCGCTGCTGCAAACACACACATCTCATTCGAGTGGGCGTTAAACCTTTACCACAGCACACACATGGATTAACGACATTTTTTTTCTCCCCCTCTTCGCTCCATTAAGCGAGGCTCTGTGTTTCCCGGGGAGCTGACAGCAGAAGATGAGCCTTTTCTCTCCGCTGGAGGAGGCTTCGCTGCTGCCGTGTGGGGGAGTGGGCAACATCCTGTGGCGTTTCCTGTGTTTGTAAACTAGACGCTGCTGAAAAACGTCGGAGGTGTGAAGCTAAAAGGTAGATACACACACGTCTGTTCGTCTCTTTCAACGATGCTCTGTGAGTTTTAATTGTGCATTCGGTTGCCAGTTATCCCGAGAGTGTTATTCATGTGAAGATCATGCTCAGGATGGCAGCGTGGAGGGTTTTCCACCGAATATTACAGCGTCTACGTTAGCCTCGGCTAGCCAGCTAACAAACGATAGCTCGATCGTCGGGACGGGAGGGGGAGGCTCTCGCAGCGACGGCCATCACGAATGTCTTTATCGCTCAATCTCGTCTTCAGCCAGTTGAGGCTGTGTCTCCAGAGAAGTATCGTGGCGAAAATATAACATCGATGGCGCCCACAAGATATACGCGGATGTGAAACCACCGTATCGTGGCGATAACAAGGTGGGCGTCGGGGGTTGCTATTTTGCTAGCGCTGTAGTGTTCGAGGGCGCCAGCTAGCAGTTAGCTGATGGCTAGTTGGAGTTAGCCAGCTTGTTCAACATCAGCAAGACGGAGGAGAGGGTGGTGGTGGTGGTGCGAAGGCCAGTTCAAGCAGTGCTGAGAAAAATACATAACCACACCGTGAAGGTGTTATTGGTATTACCCACGCGACGAAAGCCAATTGAACAACTACACTCGTCTTTCTTTTGATTAGCGTTAGCCAATGTTAGCACTCGCAGTCTATTTTTCTTAGCAACGTTAGCTCGCTAACCAGTGGTCAGAGCACTGTAGCGTTTTACTACACCTCTGACTATCGTAAACTTTTATTATGGCTCACAGGCCGCAGAGTTAACTTGTGCCACAGTGGGACTGGAGAACAAACTCAGGCAAAACGCACTTTAAAGTAGGAAAAGCGACCATGAGTTGGAGCCTAGTGTCACCGAGGAACGTTACATTAAGGGCCTACTCGTAACAGGCTAGTTAACAAACCCCATGTCAGAATGAAAAAGCAGGTTAGCATGGCTGCAGAACGCTTGCTCAGGTTTTACTGCCAAATTATGAAACAGTTAATGCAGAGGAACGACCACAGTCAATCTCAGATCCTGGGCTCGCACATGGTAGAAAGTGTGAATTCATTGCAAACCAATACAGACATCCCAACGTTTTTTAAATAATAAATAGATTACACGTTGTTTCTATGTCTCCTCAGTTCTGAATTTATTTTTCAGTAGACACTAGTTTAATTCATGAATATTACTTTTAAGTGTTTTGGATGTTATGTTTTTTTTGTTCAGTTGAGATTCTTCTGAAATGTTAACGTTCATTCTTTCTTTCTCATTTTCAAATTTCATTTTGTGTCCATTGTGTCAAATAGTTGCTCGTATAATGTTTTACTCGGTTTGAAAGCTGCTTATTGAGCACAGACAGACCTTCCACATCACAAGAGAAGCACTATGTAGGTTTTTGTGTATAGACAGAATTTGTTTGGATTCTGCTGTGCAAACTAGTTGGAAAACAAATTAATAGTTGTTAGGTGTATTATCACATCATAATAAATAGAACTTTAAGATGCATGGAATATTCATTTGCTTTAATGATCTAGGTTTGTTATCATTCAAGGGGAGAAATTTGCTTTTTTTCAAGGTGGATTCCTGGAAGCACAATTGGATTATGTTTACATCTTTTTAATTTTTTCAGTTTTCAGTGCGGTTTTAAATTGTAGGCCGTAGATGGCCCCTCTTTAAACTATGAGAACACAACAATTATACAGAATTTAAGATTAGCCAAAAGCAATAATCATTTAAAATAGGAAACATGAGCAAATGATTTGTAATGCAATCATTTTATAAGGGTATATTAATTATTGTTACAAGTAGTTCTGCACGTTTAATCTACGGTTCTTACCTGGTTTGTGACATGATGACTTGTATTTTTTATTTTAGAAAATTCACCAACACCCACTAACATCGGCTTTTGTGTTCAGTGGGCAAGGGTGCAGTCAGCTTTCATTCTCGAGTCAAATGACTACAATAGTTACAGGTATTGATCCGCTCTAACTCCAATTGAAACATACATATTTTTAGTCTTTTCTGGTGCAATGACTAGTCTGGGCCCCATTGTCAACAATAGCTATCATGCAATGAAAGCTTGTCCCAGCCACAAATTCCGTCTGCTTCCAGCTTGCCATTCAAGCAACATGGTTCTGTACACATTGAGTTTGAAGAGACCAAAGATTAATTAAAAGTAGCCTCCATAACATAGTCACTGGCGCCTATGCTGCTTTCTATTGCTCTCTAACTCTGTTTTCAGGCATGTTGACGTTGGAAATGACCTGAGTAAAAAACAAACAAAAAGAAAGGAGCTACTTGCGTAAAATGTAAATAATATTTAATATTTGTTAAATTTGCATGTATAGCGGCTACACAGAAGCAAATTATTATGGAAGTTCATCAATTGCTTACCATGGTCAACCAGGATAGCTTTAAAAGAGAGCAAAAAGCATGCTGCAAAAGCAGTATAAAATATCATTGAGCTAATATGGGCAGTAAGTAAACACTGTCAATTTTTTAAGGTAAGTATTCATAATTGTATGTAAAAAAAAAAAAAAAAAAAAACTTCTCTCCTGGCATGGTTATGTGGATTGTGAAGAATATTCATGCCTTTTATGTTTTCAATGTTTAAACTTCATTGTGAAAATTAACCATCCTAACTGGAGTTAATGAAACGTGTAATGATGAAGACAGTGAGTGATGCTGTTGTGATTTAATGTTTGTCTGTTTCATCCACATCCTCCTCCTTCCTCAGCTTTAATGCTAGATGAGTGAGGTGGGTGTGGATTCCCACCAGCCCGACCATCCTGATTGACGGATCTCTGGATGACCTTGTCCCCACCCCTGTCCCTGCGCTCACATACACCACAGCAATGTCACATCTGCCCAGCAGCTCAGTCCGCGACCATATGAAATGGGTTTGTTTTGAAATCACCAAAGTGGTTACAATTAACTTTATCTGCAGTCTTGTGTCACTCAGGATGTTGTCGTTGATGACTAGCTTGTTAAATGCCATGTAACTGGTGGTATTGTTGAAGATGCAGATAAATTCAAATTGCAGACTGTTATTACATGTTTTATACAGTTGGTAATGTGTTTTTGTTTTTTGTTGTTTTATTATCTTTCGTAGGCGGGGCTGCTTGGCTGCGAAGCTGTCCTCTCCAGCATGGCCCTGATGCAGGCCAGCTCCATGGCGGCTCCGCCCAAAAAAATGATGGCTCCACTTGGCCATGTACCACAGCAGAGAGAGGGACCTGACCGTGGTCCCCAGAGCCACATGATCCTCCCCTCTGGAATGAGCTGTCCACCCCTGGTAAGGACCCATTTTTGAAATGTAGAGTAAAGATAGGGTGGTTATATTCAATACATTGGATCTTGTGAAAGGTGTAAACACACATGAAAATGTCTTTGTTGGAAAAACTTTCCCTATGAATGTCATGATGATTTTCATATTGATTTTGAGCAGATAAATTGAATGGCATGTATACAACTATTGCACTATACGGCATACTGCAGGGTTGTATGCAATTGTAAAGAGTTACAGCTTTAGAAGCATCACATAGCTCATTGTCCTTATTCTAGAGAACAAGGATCCCGGCCCCAACCAGCACAACATATGGCTGACTATTTTAAATCATGTGTTGTTGAAATCAAGATCCTACACTATTCAGCACTGGTTTCTTCAGCTGGAATGCAGAACACAGTGGTTCATTTAAATTTAGACATGTTCAAATTTTAGTTTTTAGTTTTAAAATGAAATGAAATAAATAAATAATGGACTTTTTCTGGCCCTGTAGCTTATCCGGAAGGAAGGTGAATTCCAAGCTCCCCGCCTGCTGGATGAGAAGGAGATGAGAGCCAACGAGGACATGCAGCAGAAAAAAAAGAACAGGAAATCAGTGACGCCCTGTAAAGTGAGAGAACAAGAAGGAAGGGGAGGGAAGGTCAGTGGGTGCGCTCGCTAAATGGGGAATGGTCTCTTTTGTGCATATTTATTTTCTCTAATTATTACGTGAAATACGTCTTTAGCTGCTTGCACAAATTTTTGTCAAAGCATTTGACTTTATCGGAGTGCGCACGGCACTGAGCCTTCATGTGTGCTCATTTTGTTTGTGGGGGTGGGGGGAGGAGTTCAGGGAAGATGTGGAGGGGGTGGAGGATCTCTGGAGAGGAAAGAGGGGGAGGGGAGCTGAGTGAAGCAGAGCACAATAACTGCAGTTGTGTGCATAGCAGGGGGAGCAGTAACGTGAGGGCATTAGGCCATTGGAAGAATTGTGGGGTATTTCTCAATTCAGATGTGAATTTCATGTAGTACAAACTTTGGTGTATTGCTTATCATGTGACAATCAACAGATAATTTGGGGCTGTAGATATTACCAAACATCAAATATATATAAAACATTTGGTGTTCAAAATCTACAGAATGTTGTATGTAATACTGAATATGCACATTTAAATATAAAATAATGTAATTTCAGAGGAATTTTATTTTCTCATCGGATTCTGAGCAGTTGGGTGGGTGCGTGTGACACGTGTACCAATGTTTTTGTGGTAAAAAGGTCTCTACATTATCTATATAAGTGCGTCATCAAGGGGGGGGATTAGGAGCAAATAATAAACCACTATTCTTTACTGTCCTCAGGGCACAGGTGGAGATGAAAACGGTCCATCATCTAAAGTGCAGAAAAACTTTATTTGTGATCACTGTTATGGAGCTTTTAGGAGCGGATACCACCTGAAGAGACATATCCTCATTCATACAGGTATGGGTCATGATCAGAATAATTTGCATTCACAGTTAAGCCAAAAAGCTTTTATTGCTTGAATACATGAGTCATTTGTTGAAAGTGACCCTGAGAGCTTGAGTTGGACTGAATCTGGGAGTGTGCAGCTACTGTAAGATTTTGCAATGGCCTGCTTTAAAAACCTTGTTTTGGTAATAGCTTTTGCCCCACAGCTAATTGGTGGTATCTGTGGGGACTTTGACTAAAACTGGTGCTCTTCGGTTTAGGGGAGAAGCCGTATGCTTGTGCCGTATGTGACATGAGGTTTATTCAGCGTTACCACCTGGAGAGACACAGCCTCATTCACACGGGTATGCGTCCTTTAACCGTACCCATACAACATAAATCTGACTACCTCTGTAGTCAATGGACAAATGCTCAGGGTTCATTTTGTCTGTGGACAGTAATTTCCAACAAAGCCACCCCCTAATCCATTCAGACCAAAATATGAAGCACAGTATTTGTTTTACAAAGGTTGGTCCCTCAACACCAAAATGTTTCTTTCCCCTAAAACAATTCAACACATTATGGTCCAATAGTCCAGAGTCCACTATTAAAAACTCCCCCCTTTTCTCAAAAATATCAGTGCTGTTGAGCTGTGGTGTCTTTAGAGGGAGGAATTAGCTTTTGTTGTGGTTGTAAAAACCCCTTATTGCAAATTGCAAAGTTCTGATTTGTCTGTGATAACAACTTTCATCTTCCTCTGCTGATATATATTTATATTGCTTGACACATATTTGACCTTTTATTTTAACTTCTTTAGTTGATAAGTGAAGTAGGAGGTTGTTTGTTATTTGGATTTGCATTGTGGATGCAAATGCTGTTGCAAAGATATGAGCTGATACTGTGTTTTCTGTGTGCTGTGCTAACTTTAAAGCATAACGTTACTCAGGTTTATAATCCAGCATGTTCCTCCATCCAGCAGTTGCTGCATGCCCCATAAGCACTGTGTGCAGTACAACACTTCACAATGCTGTACACAGAAAGAGGTAAAATTGTATGACAATTTTGTATCACGATAATAGTGACCAAAATGATCACGCGTATCAGTATTATTGTGGTTAGGGATGTCGGAATTCGCCGACTTTACGATAACCACGGTTTCATAACTGTAAAAATTGTAAATACTACCTAATCCATCTATGGTGTCCTGCCTCTTGCCGGTCACGTAATTTGTGTTTGTGCTGTTAAATCTCTCGCGAGTCACGTTCTGTGTTTGTGTGCTGCGCTTGTTTGTTCCTCTGAAATGTTAGTTGAGAAGAGGAGTTCACAGCGAGAGGAGAAATCCTTTGTTTACTTTCGAGTTCTGACCATCTCTGAATCAGGCTGACACACACATCCTCTCTCTTCCTATTAACCATTATAAATGTATAGAGTTTAATGCTTAATGTTTAATGCCTATACTGAGAGTTAAAAGTATAATCAGGGTAGTAAGAGTGTGTGCTTGAACCAAAACAATATGCCTATTTACTTTTCACAACTTGTCAACACTTAGCTCCCAAAACAAAACAACTTCCGTCGGGGACCCTTCACAATAAAAGTCCCATACAGATACACTGCTTATGATGACAGGAAACACAAATTCACTGACCAACCTTCCACAATAAGGCAACTAAATAAAATAGCTTACATAAATTACTTTTAAATAGCCAAACGTTACACTATAAAAACTAACTGGATATAGTTGATGATAATAAATATTGTGGTTCATTAGCTATGTATTAGATATATATTGGTTGTTGTCTTTTTCCCTCTATAGATAAAAATGATGATAGTATTTTCATTATTTATTGAAGGTTTACAACTTGTTACATTAAGTGCAGGCGTCGATCCCAAATGTCAGAGTCAGGACAAAATATCAGTGTTTGTTAAAAGCATGCAGTTGGCGACAGTGGATGTTAGCATTTGTTAGCCATGGACAGAGATTACTAACAGTTCTGCGGCTACAGCCCCCACTATCCTGCAGCTCTTTCCACAATGTTTTTATAACACACAACAAATGCTGCGCTTGGACTTTCATTCAATGTGTGTAAATACATGTCTCATAAAGTCTCAGGCAAATCAAACAAACACAAAGTATGCTTCACATATGCACATAACAAACCCATGTTGCATGCTGCACCAGCGTGCCTGTGTGTGGGACACTTGCTCACTGTGGTTGATGCTGGACAGTTTTTACCATGAGCTTTACACTGTGGTAATCTACTAGTGTTATAATGATAATTATAATTTTACACAGAAATGCTAACCGTCAGGAATTTTAAGTGATTAATCATAAAACCGGTAACTGTTTCATCCCTAATCACAGCTGCTTGTAGTCACAAGTATGTGAAACCACATCTGACCACCCACATTGTTCGACCATATTGGCTCTTAGTTTGGACGATTTGACATGAGAACATCTTCTCAGCACGAATATTTAGGAGTTCAGGACCAGGTTGTAGCAACACATCGGCGGCCATAATAGTTTGTCAAAATTTTGAGTTACTCAGTTGAAAGACCAAAATAATGATCACAATGTGTCACAAAGAATATTTATGTTACTGTTGAACTTTTTGAGGCTTTGCTGAGTGAATGTCTGATCTAAATGATTGATTTGTATCAACATCGTATATTTCATCAAGACAAGAAAGCAAGACAAATTATGTCAGTTGCTGAAAAAAGATCACAGACTGTTCTATAAGGAAGACTTTTTGATAGTGGACTTAAAAGTGGACTGTAACTAGTGGACCCCAATGTATGTGTGTGAAAGGCTCAAAGCATAGGCTGCAAAATGCAAGATTGATTAATTTATCCATGTATTAATCATCACTTTTGTATGTAATTATTACTTTGTCAGTGAAATAACTGCATGGGCATCAAAGGACTATGTTCTTAATTGTTTATGTAAAATGAATATTGAGGAGTTTATTGAAAAACATTTTATGTATAGTTTCAGAATTTGCGTTGCACCCTTTCACACAAAATTCTTTGTTTCTCATTGTTTAAAGAAGTGTGCACTGTGGGTAAGTCAACTTCCAACCTCGTTTTCCAAGTCAATGACTACTGCCCCAGTAT